CTAACCCTCTACAACTGTAGTGATGCCCTCAATTAAAAGGTTCCTTCTTTAGGCTACCTTGTTCTGGTGTTTCATCATAGCAACAGAACAATAACTAAGACACCCAGTAACTGAAAATGTCACTCTTGAACACTTTCTTCTTACATGCAATCTGAATGCAAGGAAACAGCTCTTCACAGTATCTCCATCCCTGCACTGCTGCTGATGGCACAATCGCAGAGGGTAGACTGCTTTTCTTATTCGGGAATCAGGCATTGCCTTTTGCCAGGGCCAGATGATGTCTAGGTTTTGTTGCAACAGGAAGGTTGCAAAATAACATGATTACACCTAAAGCACCGACCACAGAAACACCAAACCACAGCATCATAACTGAAAAAAAAATCCTTACAAGAACATTGTGAGTCACAGATTTACATAACTTATCAATAAAAAAGTAAGTAGGAGGTATAGTAAGCTCAAGGAAAGATATAGCAGATTAAAATGGCACGCATACACACACGCAAGCAGATAAGTCCTAGAATAAGATGGCAAATTTAGATCAACATGGGTAAATTCTAGAGGCCAACTCATCACAGGGGTTTCCTGTGCTACTGGGTAGCTAGTGTTTGCAATTCTACACACCACATTAGCCTCCACTTTTCAAATAGCTATGTCTCCCTTAGAAAGACTGATGCCCTGTGGACATTGTTCTAGTATGCTTGAATGGATCAATTCTGATTCCTTTTGCCAGACGGTAGAGGTTTTGTTTTTTGCCTCTTTTCCCCCATCTTTCTTTTAAATCTGTAACCTATAACTGTCATGTGGGTCCAAAACAAGTCTAGGAACTTCTGACCACCTAATGTTCCACAGGCATCTTTCTACAGACAGCCTCTGTGAGCCTGGCACAGCAACCTGAGATCTTCAGGGACTCCTACCTTCACTTGGAGAAGAGTGGAGGGCTCTGGAGATCAACCTTTGCCCACATTCCTGGCCAGAATCAGGGCCACACAGTACTTCTGAAGACAGACCTGTTGGGGGTGGAGGGCTTGCTTACATTCAGCAACTCGGCTGTCCACTAAGTGGATAATTTAACGCAGGTGCTGTCCTTTATAAATGAAGAAACTGAAGATCAAGATCACCTGGTGGCTAGTTGGCAGATCCCTATAGTAGCCACTTCTCCAAAATTCAAGGTATTTCTGCCACAAAAACACCACCTGGAGGCTAGCCTGTCTTGCCTCTTGGCACTGACTCAAACTTGACCCCTGGAGGCCAAGACTACAAGGCAACAGGAAGGCCCCACTTCTCTGCTGTACCTACACCTAGGGAGCCTAGAAATGACCTCATTTTACCCCCTTCCTTTTCCCCATGGAAACAGCCTCCCTTTCTAACCTGCCTTGCTCTAAGCCATCGACATAATGGAGTTGATAGACTTCACAGGTAGGTGTTATGACAGGCAACAGCTCAAGGTGCTATTTCCATCAGGGTTATTTGCATTTCAAAAGGATTCTATTTGGGCTCAGATGATTTCCCTCAGGCTTCCTCACCAGGAGGCAGAATGACTGGAGGGGATTGCAGATCTGCTCTTACCCTAGACAATAGCTGAAGCAGTGAATGCCCAGCTCCAGGGAATCCTGTGTGTAGGGAAGATAGGCAGAAAGGCAAGAATGTTCTGCCCCCAAAGGCTAGAGAGTTCATTGCAAGTCACAGATTTTAGAGTTGTCCCTAGGCCTTTTGAATAGTTTCTAAACTATCTAAATAGTTTCTAGCTGGTGTAGGAACCCAGGCCTGAGGACCGACCCCTGATTGGCTAGAGAATCACTCCTGATTGGGCTAGGTCCATTCCTAGGTGTTTTATATGCAAACTCATTTCATCTTCACAAAGATGTGGGGAGGTATGCATTATCTTCATCTCATCAGTGAGAAAACAAGCTGAAGATGTGCAAAACCCCTGACAGTCAACCAAAGTGCAAAGCTAGGTGCCACATCAGTCATTCCAGGCTGGAGTTCTCTGCCAGACAATATCCTTTACTGCCTCCCACTTTGCCTGGCTTCCATCTTCCAAAGGGGTGTGACCTGTGTACAAATACATTTCAGAAGATATGTTTTCTCACCTTGCTAATCCCTAGGAAGGTCCAGCAATAAAGATTTCAAGGACTGAAAAGCTACTACAGAAAAGCAAACCAGACTCCTGCAGAGAAGACAGGCAAGGGCAGAATACTGTGCCTTACTTAACACACTGTAAGCCCAGGAGTCTGTTATCTTACACTATCACCGAGAGAGAAAAAGAAGCCACCTTCCAACCAATGCATCCCTGTTAAGAGGCAAACTGAAAGGATCTGTTAAGGTGCAATTTTAACGTGTGCAGAATGGAAGTGACAGAGTGCGGCCATACCAGTGCAAGCAGCTCAGCCAAGAAAGAGAGCATCTTTCACCATTTTCTCACAGAAGCTGCAGAACTCAAATGGTCTCGATTCTGACTGCATGCTATTAATTAATCACTGTTCCTCAAAGAACCAATTATGATTTTGGGGACCTGGGGTCACAATTCCTGGGTTTGGAGTGGGCCTCCTCTTTCCCCTCAAGATGATCATCAACTCAGCTGCTGGCAAGGTGCCAGACAGGTAAACACATGTGTCCTGAGGGCTGTAACTTCCAGCAGGCCCATGTTTCTTGGTTTAGATACTGAAATAAAAATGGCAGAATGGCTGATCTGCCAAATGCTTCCCAGAGAACACATTCCTATTGTGACGCTGGCCTTGTGTCCCATCATGGCCTGCTGCCGATGAAGCAACATCACATCATCTGTATTCACTGGCAGATGCATAGACAGGGCTAGGAATATGAGCATTAAGTGCAAGACAAGCTCTATTTAAAAGGAGAGTCTGTTTTCAAGCATCTGGAAGTGATTTAAAATATCTAAATTATTCATTATGATTAATTGTAGACATTAATAACACAAAGTCAGATGATTCTCATGACCTTAGCAGCCCGCTATCACCTCCCACCCAAGCAGTCAACACTTGAGGAGCTAAGAGACAATCTTGTTCTTCCAAGATGAAATTAAGAACACAACGCAGTCCAAAATGTCTTTATTCCCACATCTTTGCAGCTCTATCCATCTACGGGCTTACAAGCACGCTTACCAGTTGAGTAAAATAGTGTGAGTGAGACATTTTCCTTTTCAGGAAGAGTCCAAAGCACCATTCTTTGACAGCCTTCAGAGAAGAGGCATCAGCGATACCTTGGAGGGCACTGTTTGGAGTACAGTCATAGGCATGGCACTGTTTGCAGGCTAACGAATGCACAGCAGCAACCTTGCACTGCCCATAAATCGCACACTGCATCTCCTGGGTGAGGTGACTTGTGAAAATCTGTAGAATTCATTCAGACACAGTGCACACTTTGCTCTGTGTGGCTAGGTCCTGGAAACCTGACTGGGGTGGCAAGGGAATTCAAAAAAGACACGCAGAAAAGCTGGGATCAGGTGGACACGGTTCTCTGATGGAGAAGCTGATTCTTACATACAGGTGAACAGGAAGGTGGGGTTATTGCATAACAGCTGAAAAAGGAGGCAGGTTTAACTAATCTCCAGGGAAAGGTTTACCACTCCCATGGGGCTGAGACACTGGGATCACTGACATGGACACACTCATGTCAACAATCCACTCAGGGTTTCTTGTTCTCTACAACATAGGCTAAGGGATTTGGGGCACTTTGGTGGTGTCTCAAATTTGGAAAGGACTGAAGGAGAGCATGGTATGACCTGTCTCCTTGGCTAAGCAACATCACAACTCAGAGTTGGCTGTGCTTTGACTTTTCTTTCTTGGGCTGCATGCAGCAGGTAATGGAACTCATGGCCTCCTGCATGCTAGGCAAGTTCTCTGCTACAGAGTCACACTGCCAGCTCTAAGTGGCAGAAGTTATTGCTTAGTTCAGTGTAATTGGCTGTAACTGGACTTTCTTTGGACCAGCAGCTCCCAAATAATGACAGGGACTTATTATTATGAAAGCTTTGCCTTTAGCTTAGGCTTATTTCCCAACTAGCTTTTATAACTTAAATTAACTCATTTATATTAATCTACATTCTGCCACGTGGCTCATTACCTCGTTTCCATACTGTATGTCTGCTGAATCCCCCTCCTAAGTTTGAGGCCCAGCCTGGTCTACATAGTGAGTTTCTTTTCTCTCTCTCTCTCTCTTTTTTTTTTTTTTTGGTTTTTCGAGACAGGCTTTGGAGCCTATCCTGGCACTCACTCTGGAGACCAGGCTGGCCTTGAACTCACAGAGATCCACCTGCCTCTGCCTCCCGAGTGCTGGGATTAAAGGCATGCACCACCAATGCCCAGCCTACATAGTTGAGTTTCAAAACAGCCAGAGCTACATAGAGAGAGCCTGTCTTGAAAACCCAAAATCAAACAAACAAACAAACAAACAAAAAAGCCATGTCCTCTGAGTCCCTTCTCCCACTGCACAAACACTGGAATTGAAAAACTGGGCAGGCCGCTTCCTGTGGGCAATGTCTGTCTGCCGGAAGAAGCAAGGACTTGATGTGTGATGTGACTACGATCAGCGGAGTTTTCTGATTATAGAAACTCTCAAAATCTTTATGCTTATCCATGGGAAATTAGTCTTTTAGGAAGCCAGGTCTATGGTTTTTGTACTTAAAGAAAGCCATTTGAAAACTGTTTACAAACTAGTACATCATCTCTATCCCTTCCACACATAATACAGAACTAAGAGGCATGGTATAGCCCCACAGGACAAAGTAAACAGGGACCGGCTCAAATGTTATCCACTCCTTCCCTACCCTAGACTCTGTGGACTAGATTTTGCTCCAACTGCTCAATACTAGGAGGTATGAGAGGGAGAGCAACTACTGAGATTAAGACTTGTCCTTGAGCCGGGCGTTGGTGGGCGTTGGTGGAGCACGCCTTTAATCCCAGCACTCGGGAGGCAGGCAGATAGCTGTGAGTTCGAGGCCAGCCTGGTCTCCAGAGCGAGTGCCAGGATAGGCTCCAAAGTTACACAAAGAAACCCTGCTTCGAAAAAACAAAAACAAAAACAAACAAAAAAAAAGACTGGTCCTTGAAAACCTGCAGTGCTGGGTAATCTGGTGCTGGCTACAGGTGGAAGACCCAGCTCCCCAGGAAGCACAGCAGGGTTCCACACAAAAAGCCCAGACACTGACATCTGGAGTGAAGCAGGATACCACCCACCCCATTGCTCACAGGGGCCACATGCAGAGTGCATGCAGAAAGAAGAAAGCCTCTAATAGAGACCAGACAGAGAAGGAATCAGAAAAGTGGCAAAGCAAAGTAAAACAAAAGTATCTACCATAAATATAGAATCCCCGAGAGCCACAGACATATATCCTAGAAATAAGAAGACATTTCACTGGAAGGGAGGGCCAAGAAAGTAACTCACAAAGTCAAAGAAATAAAACAAGAAAAGGCAGTCCAAAATAGCATCCGCACCTGGGGGATGCTCAGCCAGGTGGGGTGTTTCTGAGCTATTTAAGGATAAGAAACATCAAAAGGAGGGTGGGTGCTAGACACAATACACCTTCCAGAATGAAGGATTTGGCTTTTCTCATTTAAACGCAAGGAATACACATGGTACACCTATGCATATGATCCTGGGATGAAGACAGAGGACGTTAAAATTTTTTCTATAATCGTTCTCTTTCACCATCTCTTTTAACACCCCAAGGGTTATACCTGTAAAAGATCAAGATGTCACTGGACTTACAATGCAACTCTATACACAACAGACAAGATTAATGTTTCCAAATTATGTGATTAAATTAACTTTAGACTATTTGTATGAATTCTACATCCAGCTAAACTGTCTAAAAGAGTAGAGCTTCAGACCTCCCAGCAATCTATTTGACTTCACAGGTATATCTTCACAGGCAGCCTACTAGAGGCTGTGACTCACTCAGTAAAAGTAAAAGTAGGGATGAGAGAAACCAGGCTTTCCACAGGAGATGAAGGTGCAGGATGATGGCAGTAGGTGTGTAATTCTACAGGACACACAGAAAGCCAGAAGTCTCTCCAGATGGGACCGCTGACTGACCTCAAGTGCTGGGCAGTGTGTAAAGTAAGTATTCTGAGCTAGGTTAGCTCACTGAGCTGCAAATTTCTATATTGGATATGGAATCCAATTTACAATCAATCAAATGAATGAAAATGAAAATGGAGGTCTGCTTTCCCATGTCTTTAGGAGTTCAAGGCTAGCACAGCTTCATTTGACTTAGCAGCTCAATATCATGACAGGTCTCAATTCTTTTTACCTCTTGCTCAGCCATTCTCAGCATGTCTGCCATCGTTCCTTATAGTGGCAAGACAATCTCCAAACACCCTGTCCTCATGACCACAGCTGCCAGGCAGCTGGATTGAAGATCTGGGTTCTCAGGAACCGTCCACAGCAATTCCACCTTTCTTCCAAGATTCCCCGCTGGACTCTGTCCTCAACCACTGCTCTTGTGCATAAGCCTCAGAGGAAATGTGCGTATGCTGGATGAGTGATGAACACCTGTGACCCACACGAGGTGGGAGACCCTGATGGAGCACCTCGAGTGGACACCAGGACAACCCTGGGGAGCCACTCCACACAAACAGAAGAGGAAAATGGCTGCAGGGGAGGTGGTAAGGCAACCTAAGAGAAATGTTGTAAGGGATTCTGGTAAGAAGCTTTGGGGAGAGGGCATCTAGTAAGAGGAATGTAAGACTCAAGTAAAGGAAAATAAATCTGACAGTGACTATTATAGGGGAAATAAAATGGTAGCTTAGTATGTCAATTCAACTCAACGATTTATGTAGAACCCTTTTACCAGATGCAGCTGTATTGGGGTGAGGAAAGAGGAGGAATGATGAAGTTTATAGCATGTGTTTTCTGCACTATGAAGTCAGAAGTATATAAAATGTATATATTCAAATACATAATAGAAAGCACATTTAGAATCCACCAGAGCTAAGAATGCAAGTGATTATGGGAATCTCGAGTTAGGGGTTTGGGAAACGGCTGTATCTATTACAAGCTGTACAAAAGTGCCTTTTAAAATTACGTATATGCTTAGCTTTTCACTTTTAAGGATGAAACATGTAGCACCACCATCTCTCATCTCTGAATGGTCCTTTCTATAGAGAACTCAAACCCAAATCATGATATATTAAATACACAGAAACAAAATCAAATTCTCTTTTCTCCATTTACCGCCTCACTCCATACTCAGCTGCCCAGAGAAGCCAACCAATAGCAGACAGGTGTCACGCCTTTGGAAAGGGTTTAATATAGTCTGGCAGGAGAGTCCCAGAAGCCACATTAGTAGTCCTGGGACCTTGAAGTCAGGGCAGGTAAGGCACAGCCAATTCCCCAGAGGGAATAACTACTTACAGGCCTCATTACAGGTCTCATTACACCAGACACCTGAAGGAAGGACAAGGCTCTGTACTGCAGAAGCCTGCTACATTGAGCCCAGGAGGTCTACAGACCTTCTCTAGCTTCACTGCTGAGAGCCACCCATTTAAAATCCAAACAGCCTACCTGCACTCAAACCTCTCACTTTAACACACTAGCCCTCATACTCACCCTAAGGGCTATAATTTAGGGACTGTCCCAAGGGAGAATGCCCTATCACAAGATAGGTAGGTACTCTGAAGCCCCAAATCCAGAGATAAGACTTTCCTTGAACTTAGCAATGATCCATGATCACCTAACTCCACGTGCTGAACTTACCAGAGCAGCTTTCAAAACAAACACGACTGAACTCAGTTTGCACAGCAGAGAAGCAGCTGTCCCCAGCACAGGCTGCCACTAGGGGCAGTTCACTTTACTGCTCCCATCACATACATTCCATGTGGCTTTTTCATGCCCTTTTGTCATAGCAGTCCTTGAAAGTACACCTTTTCCAGAAAGCCTTCTCAGTCTGCAGCTGGCGCCTTTCTTAAATCAAGCCATTCAACCACACTGCACACATCCAGGCACACATCAGTCTGATGCTACACTGCCATACTTCGATCTGTGCAGTGCTTGCCTGACAGGTCAGAAAGTTGGCATAAAGCAAAAAGTGTCTTTTAGAAACAACTTTATATAAATAGGTCCTTTAACAAAGAATACATGTTTAGAGTGTCCAGTTTTGAGTACGGTGGATCCGCCCTTCTTATCCGTGGGAAGCAGGTTCCAGCTTGCTTGTCCAGCGCGCCTATGCAGTTAGCTTTTCTAGCAGAATTTCTACTCCTTTGCTGGTGCTTTTGTTTTTTTCCAACGTTGGAATCAGGCTTTTCAGTCCAGCTTTGACTTTGTTTACAACTTCCTGGTCACAGCTCTGAAGAAGGCTAGAGAAAGGAAAAGAGTTGACAAAATTAAATGACATAAAAGCCCTGAACCTGCTACTCCACCCATATGGACAGTGTAACCAAGTCATTGTTCTATCATCTTCTTAGCTATGTACAGTGTATTACATAGATTTCTTTCTTTCTTTCTTTCTTTCTTTCTTTCTTTCTATTCCAAATTCATCAGATGAAGGCCAGTGAGATGAGTCAGCAGGTGTGTCAGCACCTGCTTTTTTACCAAGTCTGATGACCTAAGTTCCATCTCTGGAATCCATATGGCAGGAGAACAGACTCCCACAACTTGTTCCCTGACCAGTACATGTGTGCTGTGGCAGATACCCACACCCACCAAACAAACAAATAATGTAGCTGAAAAACTTAAAATTCAAATGAATGAGAGCCAGTAAGTCTGCATCCTAAAACTATGGAAACGCTTTATAATCTTGGGTGGCGTCACTGAGAAGACTCCAATGACTTTGATTATCTCATAACTGACTTGCATCCTGCTTTAAGATTGGCTGGTTGGCAGTGTGGTGGTTTGAATGAGAATGGCCCCCATAGACTCATATATTTGAATGATTGGTTCCCAGTTGGTGGAACTGTTTGGGAAGGATCAGAAGGTATGGTCTTTGGGGTTCAAAAGCCCACACTGGACCTAGACTTGCTTAACCTCTGCCTACTGCTTATGGATCAGATGTAAGCTCTCAACTACTGCTCTACTGCCATGATGGTCATGGACTTGCCCTCTGAACCTGTAAGCAAGCCCCCACAAAAAACTCTTCTTTTATTAGCTGCCTGGGTCAGGGGTGTGTCTTCAGTGACAGAATAGTGGCTCAGACAGCAGGCTACTGTCTTATCTGGGCAACAGCTCAAAAGCAGTGACTGTGTGGCCTTACCCACTTATTGATACTATAGCACCATATGCATAAAGATGGCCGAGGAACATTGCCTCCACAGGTGAACTCACCCTAGTGAGCAGGTGCAGCAGGCAAACCACGGAAGGAAAACTGAGTGTTAGTGACCTTGATACTGACCTCTACACCTATGACAGACACTGTGCTGTGGAAGTGAAGGGCTTTACCTAATAACGTCCCTGATTTGGCAAGAGAACTGCCTTCTGTCAGTAACCATACAACCCAGAGCAGGCTGTCTGTCTGTCTAAGACTTGCTTTCCTGGTCTGCAGAACAGAACCCAGGATCTCACACATGTTTGGTACAGAGTCCACCACTGACTGTGTGCATATCAAGGCTGCACTCTGGTGCCAAGCTGAGCCACACTCACGCTAAGCCACACTCAACACTGAGCCCACACAAACACTAAGCCCACACTCAATACTGAGCCCACACTCACTCTAAGCCCACACTCAACACTGAGCCACACTCATGCTAAACCCATACTCAGCCACTGAGCTATACTCACACTAAGCCCATACTCAGTCACTGAGCCAATCACACTAAGCCCACACAGGCACTGAGCCAGGCCCCCAGGTTCCAGAGGGGTGCTTTTAAGGTAGAGCTTGATACTCAGTAAACCATAAATCTGAACCATTAAACAAGGCTAAGTCACAGGCACTCAACTGCAGGCCACCAGGCCCAAATTTCCTTTTCCCTCCCAAGTTCTTTAGGACCACATTTAAATGTTGATCTCTGAAACATACTCCAGAAGGAGATTACTTGGCATTTTCAAAAGTCCCTAGTCACAGTAACTTACATTATGCCTACAAAGAGCAAGGTGAGCACCAGACAGTGCTCATGGGAGCACCTATGGCTCATGGGAGATGACAAGAGATGCTGGTAAAGTGCCCTGAACACCTTGTCTAAACAGCCACATGGTATATAATATTAGTACAAGTTAGCAGCTATTAAGGATGTGCTAAACACAGACGCAGTGAAAGGCATTCTACATGCCTTGCTTTCTTAACAACTTTAAGACTTTAAGATTATCATTAACTTTTTGTTTTACAACCAAGAAAACCTAGGAAAGCTCAATGATTTTCCAAGTCATGTAGTAGGCAGGTCTTGAAGCTTAGGCAGGCTGTCTAGGACCTATGTTCTTAGATGCTAGAGAACTCTACAGAGTTATTTCTCAGCCTACATCCAACACTTTTTCCTCTTTCCACCCAAAATGCTCTTTCAGTAACTCAATAACAACTATGTTGAACAGACAACAAACACAGCATTAAATATTCCCCAAAGAAAACACACATTTTAACAGGCAGGGATTTTGGCAAACAAATGCTATTCAAGAATCCAGTAAATAAGATGACTACATTTAAAGCCACGTTCAACTTCTGTTTGGAATCTCACACTGCCTGTGTCTCCATACAGTTCCAGGCAGAGCTCCACAAGAAACACACTGGATCTGTCTGAGATCTACGCATGGGAGTGCTGACCATGAGCAAACTTTACACATTAATTTCATGGCACCACTGGAATTTCCAGTTAATTGAGCACAATGAAAGCATGTCAGTAGGTGTTAACATTCCAAACGCCTGGTAAAGGAATGCGAGACAAAAAAGTTCCTGTCACGGCTAATGGGTTCTGACTCTTTTAACATCCATTGGAATATAAACTCATTTCTCTAAAAACAGAGCCTGATTTGCATGTAATACCCATACATTCAAAGACACTGACTGACTTAAAATGAATTCTTGTAAACCAGTAAACAGTAAACCAGATCATACATTCCAGTTTTTAACCTAATGTTTACAAACCACACAGCTACACTGCACAGGGAGTTCCACAAATAAGGTGGATGCTTCAAGCTGGAGTATCGGTTTTCACATTGTTAGTAGATGTGCTGGTTAATTTGTCAACTTGATTCAAACTAGAGTTACCTGGGAAAAGGAAACCTCATCAAGGAATTGCCTCCATCACCCTGGCCATAAGGCACTTTCTTAACTGTTAATTGATGGAGGAGGGCCCAGCACATTGTGTCACGTACTATCCCTAGGCAGGCAGACTTGGGCTGGGTAAGAAAGGTAGCCAAAGGTAGAACTGGAACAGACTAATAAGCAGCATTTGTCCACAGTCTCTCTCCAGGTCCTGCCTTGAGCTTTGCCCTGACTTTCCTCAGTGATGGACTGTGATCCAGGAGTTGTAAGATGAAATAGATCCTTTCCTTCTGAGACTGACTTTGACCAGTGTTTTATAACTGAGAAGCAAACTAGGACAGCAACACAGCAGAAGAAAAACGGTAACCAATTCAAACAGCATAGAGATGTTATAAAATGAATATTTTAAGCAATGACCTGTACATTATAAACTCAACATAACCTACTCCAGGGAGTGATCTATAAGCAAGGTCTCCAATTATACATCAACCTCTATCATTTAACAAATCCTTTATCAATGTCAGAATCACTAAAGACAATGGAAAAAAAAAAACTACAAAGTTAGGCTTGACTTAAAGAGCTTTATGACAGTTTCCAGAGGCATACAACTTATTCATTCATTAAGAGAAAATTGTGTGTTGGTCAAAACTACAAATGTAATGAAACTATGAACATCGTAAATGGCACAATTCTGTGACCTGACACCCAAAAGATGATAGTTAAATAGTTAAATTTGAGAACTCAAGAGCTACATTTGCTTTTAAAGAAAAATTTAAGTCATATCAGGTTAGTGTTTCCGTGTGAGCACACAAAGCTGTTTGTCATAGCATGTGTGTATACACCAGAGGACAACTCATGGGAGTTATTTCTCTCCTTCTATCTGTGGGTCTTGGACATGCAACTCTGATAGTCAAATTTGGTGGCAAATGCCTTTGTCTCACCAGCCCATACATGTACTTTTTAATATTTGTCTAGAACCATGAGTGATGGAGTAATCCCACATTATGGGGAATAAATTCTAGAAAAAGAAATAAAGGTAAACAAGTGTGCATGTGTGTTGCATGATGTATCTACCGACCTGGAAAGAATAATGGCACCTCGATTGATGCTGGCCCAGGACTTGAGGTTCTTCATGCCAACCCGCTCTATAAGGGTTTTTGCAAAACAACCTGTAAAGTAGACCGGAACATAGTTAGCATAACACGCATGCTCCCATCCCTCATCTCAATACTTTTAAGTTTGCAAATGTTTCAACAGAAAAGTTAAAAATAATCCTCACCTATAAAACTAAAATTCTAGTACAGATTTAGTACTATTAATAGTGCCAATTTTCTTAACTCTGATGCAAATTCCAAACTATTTTTAGCAGTAATTACACAAGAAAAACAAGCTATTTTAATAAGCTCATTTGGTCACATCTACATTTCTTTGTAATATTTAATGATTTGACCTTGACCTGCCCAGCAAGTAAATGTTTGACAGTGCTACTCCACATGTAGCCAAAAGCAGTTCCCCTTGTATAAAAACGTTTAACTCGAAGGGACAAATAATGACCATTATTTGTCATTAGTGGCCAAGAATGACCATCTATCTGGGTTAGTCATGGCAATTTCTTTCTATGATGCCTTCAAGAGCCATATATCAAAAATAATTATACCTCTTTCCCAGCTCCAAAGGCTGAGGCAAGAGGACTGCCATGAGTTTCAGGATAGACAAGACTCCTCCACCCCAAACACTGTTCATCTTTAACTCTATTTCCAAGTCTTGGCATCTTATTCACCATGCCCTCTCTGGGCAACTCATTCTCAGTCAATGGGAGAAATTCTAACGACTGAGATTTGGTGCAGACGGAGGAAAGGATGACCCACGTTGAAGGTAAAATTCCCAAGTAGGTACCATGCATAATAGTGAATTCAAAAATACTCATGGAGTCCACATAGCATATGTATGGTAGACAGGGGCAGCAATCAGCCAGTGGGGCCACCTGTTTTCCAAAGTTGATCAAAACAAGATGTCCTACATTGTGTGCATTTCTAGATGCTGTCAGTCCCCCATTAAGGGTGGAATCTCAGTCTCCTGTTGACTCAGGGCGGTCTCACTGCCCACACCAAGAGAACATGGTAGAAGTTACATATGATGACTTCTGAGGATTAACATGAGACATAAACATACGTATGCTTCATTTCCTTGGGATGCTCAATCTAAGAACCAACCACTGGGGCCAGAGAAATGAATCAGTGGGTACAGTGCTTCCTGCATTAACATTGAGAACCTGAGCTCAAATTCTAGAACCTATGCAATGCTGAGGAGATTATTATTATAAACTCCTGTAATTTCAATGTTCCTAGGTGAGAGAGGCTGAAACAGGGGAATCCCTAGAAGCACAAGGGTCAGCTAGCCTTACCTGACCTCCACACATGTGCCAGGACACACATACATGCCAGAAACAAAAAATTAAAAAAGAAAACAACTACCATGTGTGCAAATCCAAGCAGTCTAGGAAGAGGAAGTGAGGCAATTGGTTACAATCTAAAACTGACAGTCTGGTGAATGAGCTACTGTAACAACAGTGGGCAACACCCAAACTGTTTGTTTGCCTTGGAAGGTAGATAGAGGCAAGCTCCACTAAACCCCAAATGACTGCTCAGAGTACTATTAAGCTCTGAGGTCATTTATCACACAGCAATACATAACCAAATAGACAGACATACTCATTTGTGCTTGAAAACATGTGCCCTGAGCCCAACAGCCTTGTCTTAGGGTTTCTGGCATTTTTATTATGAAAAATCATTTGGAAATTTCTTGGACGTTAACAGCTTGTCTAACTCATTTCAACTATACATCGACTTTTTCAGTAATGAAAAAGTTGCTTTACTACATATTATTCTCGAATATTAAAAGCTTCTTTATCTAAAAATGCAGGAAAAAATAGTCTCAAGTCCTTATTTTAAAATTTAGAGTGAGAGATGTCAGTGCTGCTCTGTACTAATGGCCTTGCTAGCCACAGCACTGTAGGTTGTGTCACCCTTTCCAGCCACTTTTACAGTTCAGACTGCATGATAGGCAAGCAGTCTACCATTGAGCTGCAGCCCAGCCCTTGAAATTTAATCATTACCTATTCACAGGCATTTCTACATACTTGGCAAATCCCACCTGGACCTAAATGGCCAGCATAAAGTCCAGAAATGCAGAAATTTCATGTAACACACACACACAAAAGCCACACGCCTTACCTTCTCTTCCATTGTCTTTCATCTTTTTATCTTGCTCTATTAACCATTTGAGAACGAGATGTCCTGCGGGATGCTCGGCAACATGAAGCTACAAGAGAACAGAATTGTGTTATTTCAAAAGCTGTCATCCATCTCTAGCCCACAAGCCTATCCCTATCCCATGTATAGACATGGATACAGACAGGTTTCACAGTTTTAAGAAATCTTTTCCTAGAATACCCATCACATTCCCAGGATACAGCATGTATAGTTATGTGGGAGACCACAGTCCCTGAAAGGTAGTTCAGAGATTGGTAAGTTTGTTTGAACAGAACCATACAATGTTCTAAAAATGAGGTAAACCTGCCAACTCTTCCTATGGTAATACACTTATCAGAGATACAAAGAGACCTCTTGGGAGAATACTACATGGTTTTTAGATACCATTCACTACCATGACCTCATGAGCAGGCCATGAAAACATTCTGTAGCTTATTTGCTGGCCGTATCAACTGTTCCCACAGTAACAGCGGTTTCCCCTCATTTAGTATGAGAAATAATGAGCACCATTTCCATTGAGAGCAGTATTTCATCACACATTCATCTGATCTGCTCCAGGAAGCCAGGGGCCTGAGCTTCAGATCACAACCCATTGGCCTTTTCCAATCCATTTGTCAGTAGCATGCCAGGCACTCAATACCATGCATCCTTTTTATTCAGAATCAAATGCATGGTTAAGCATTGCTGAGGGTCAGACTTAACCCAAGGCTAGAGGGAATTAGAGATGGAAAGAACTATGCTGTGGAAAAGATGCTGGACTGTGTACTCAAGAGGTAGCCCCCAACTAGTTTCCTCTAAAGGCTGTGTTCTTATGGGCCACACTTTCAATGGCTGTAAGCAGACCTAGCTACCCAGTCACTCTGCCAGAGATTGGTCTGGAAGCTGATGTGACTCAAACCAATTCTTAGGTAATGACATGGCAGGAAAGCCTGCCTGGAGACTGTCTTCTGGTCAGGAAAAGGCCCCATCGCTCTCGCTTTCCTTTCTGCCTGAGACCCTGATGGGCAGAGATGCTGAGGCAGTAGAAGTTGGCTATGACTAGAACACAGCACATGGAGAGATGGTAGAGCAGAAGAGCTCAGCAGGGGAGGCAGACTGGCCCAGTGCAGCAGCACCTCTGCATTGTGATGATTCAGTGCTGTTACCATAAGGCTTCCAGTAGACTGTTCATTGGAACTACATAGACTACGAGTTTAAAGTCCCCGAAACTGGACTAAAATGCAGATGTTAGCATTCAGCTAACATAAAGGTATGCATAAAAGTGACATGCATATGTCTCTCCAGTGGATTCAACTCTAAAGGCAGGGAGTATCTTTTAAAGCACTCCTGACAGATTCATTGCTTTTTCAATTAATGAGTGAAAAGCTTAGAACTTGAACAGCTTATTTTGCATCCTTAAGCAATGCCAGGGATTATAATAAAAGGCTACTCTATTTAGCACATAAAGGCTTTTGTGAGACTAAGTGACAGCAGAGATCAAAGCTTCAAAAAATGGTAGTTCCCCATAACCAGCTAGTTCTGAGCTGTGAGCTCACAAGCCAGCACAGGACAAAGGCCCTGTGTGATCTGGCCTCTGCCTTCCTCTTGTTTGCTTGCTACTGCCAACTCGGAGTCTTGGACTCAGTAACTCTCCCTTCCTCAGGGCTGCAGCACACCTTCCACATAGCCCGAATGTCTCTTTCTACCTTTCTTGGCCAAGCTGCTAACCCTTCAGGGCTCAGCTTGGCTCTTCCCATTTCTAGGAAAGCTACCTGGGGACAAGCTGGGTCTTACACAACCCCACAGAACCCATAGTTGCCATTCATAGTTTTTGTTTCAATATTAACTTAAATAATTATTTTACTTATTCAAACAGTGTGCCTTTCGAGTGGCAAGCTTTTGGGGTGCTGTTTAGCTCTTAATGTAATCAGTGACCTTAAGATGTAACGTAGAATCACACCATGCCCAAGTAAATACAAGCAAGAGTGATGAGAATAAGCAACTATATTGTTTGACAAAGTCTCATCTAGCTCAGGCAGACCCGTAACTCCTTATGTAGCAGAGGATAACCTTGAACTTCTATTCCTCCTGCCTCTATCCCTCAAGTCTAGGTTTGTAAGTACACACCTGGTTCAGCAAGTCATCTTTCCTAAGCGCTAAAATTAGGGGAGACTTCACAGAGAATTGTGGGCTTTAGGACAAGTTAGCCTTTCTTTGTACTGATGGAGCACAGGGCAATGAAAAGGATAGCATTTCACACTGGAGGAAGCAGCAGCCACAGCAAGAATGCACTATTCTGGAAAGGCAAGAACGGGCCGGTCACAGCTATCTAAAGAGTCATAGCATGTACGACTTAAAGAGGTGTAGAATTACTGCATTGCTGGGAAGGACAAGCACCTCCACTATGGCACTCGGATCATTTTCAAATGTGCTATTGGCAATATTGTTAGCATTCTGTAGTCTCCGAGACTGGGGCTTTTGCAGTCTCTGTGGCTCTCCGGCCAGTACTATCATTAACTGCACATCACCTCTCCATCCTTGCCACCAGGATGTAGTTCTACTGCTGCCAAACTGGCGATGGCATCCATGGCAGGCTGAACATCTCCAGTAGCAGATCCCAGGATGTCAGACACCAACACACACGCAGACTTGTCCAGCACCACCTCTCGAGCATGTCCTTGCAGGTGGTTTAGCAAAGCTGGAGAGATGGATTCTAAGAGCTCACGCCGGCGGATGGCAGTGTCTTTCTTACTGTGGGAATATGTTGAATGAGGTGGTAAGATAAATGGCAGATCTTG